TTCAGTAGCTTTGATCCCATTCTTCATCGCTTGTAATCATCGGGTATTCCCTCCTCTATTGATATCATAACAATAATAAGCCGCCTCCACTCGATGTCAGAATTTCTTTCACTTCCTAGGGCCCCCCCCCGATTGAACTAGTACTAGCTCTCAATCTGCCTCAGCCCCGTCGGAACGCTACGAGGCCGGAAGACCACCCCCGCAGGGACCACGAGATAAGAAGATGGAGGAGGAGGAGGAGGAGGAGGAGGAGGAGGTGGAGATGTGATGAAGGCGAGGCTCAGTGACAACGTCTTCGTCCTCGCGGTGATCAAAGAGGGTTATCCTCAAGGAGGAGGGCAGTACGTTCATGGGTCCACGAACTACGAGGGAGAACTGGTGCGAGGGAGAATGCATGGGAAGGGAGTGCTGACGATGGAGGGGATGAAGCAAGATGGTCACTTCGCTGAAGGAAACTTTGAGGAGGGAACTTGTGCCATGCAGCAGGGCTGGACTTACATCGGAAAGACGTTGGACAGCCGTTGGGATGGGGAAGGGCTGCAGATGAAGCATCAGGACGGAGAGGAGTACGAGGGAGATGTAAAGGGAGGAGCCTTCCATGGTGTTGGGCTGTTGACTTGCGGAGACGGGAGGAAGTTCAGAGGCGTGTTTGACAGGGGGTCCAAGAGTGGACCAGGGCGAATGGTCCTTGCAACGGGGGAGAACGTGCAGGCGAACTTCGACAAGGAGAGGATGACGGGGGATCGCACCATCAGCTTTCTCAACGGAAGCACCATGAGGTTCTCGGAGAGCTACCAGGACGACAAGTCGGACGTGCTTTACGCCTTCGCCAACGGGCTGGTCGTGCAAGGGTTTTCAGAGTCTGGCCGCCTCAATGGTACCTGCAGCGTGAACAGGGAGAGCGAAGCGACAGGACCCGAGCTCCCGTCCTTCGAGTTCCGCGGGGAGATGAAGGCTGGAGCTGTGCACGGGCCGGGCATGCTGAGCTTCGGGAAGCTGAGGTATGAGGGGAAGTGGGCTGGAGGGACCGCGCATGGTGAGGGAACCTTGTTCGAGGTGGGGGCTCACAGCAAGACGGCGATCCCTCTGCGAGTGACCTCGTACACGTTCGGAGCGCGAAATGATGCTCATGTGCCGCCCGCTGACCCTCATGGCGGTGATGCGAGTGAGGATGAAATGATCCCCTTTGAGGACCGAACGTCATAGTGTAAAATACAACATTATCATTACAAGCTCTCGCTACACACATTATCATTACAAGCTCCCGCTCACACAAGTTGATTCGACTTCTTCAGTGAGCACCTGGCTTCAGTGGTCGTCGAACCTGCTCTTCAAGATGTCCATGAATGACAAGTTTTCTTTCTCGCGGGTAAAGGAGTTGTCCCGCGACTTGCGGCGGGTCGGGATCGAAGAATCTCTCACGAGCTTTCGGTGCTTCACTGCTTCTTCAGGGATCAGATCGGACGAGGAGGATTCTTCCAAGCTGCAAAACTCTCACGAAGAGAAGGAGCGAGAGGGCCAACAAGCAAGAGCGAGCGAGGAAAGAGGGAGGGATGGAAGGAGGGAGGGAGGGAGGGAGGGATGGATGGATGGATGGATGGATGGATGGATGGATGGATGGATGGAGGGAGGGAGGGAGGGAGGGAGGGAGGGAGGGAGGGCACTGGAATTACCTCGAGGACAACAGACTGTCAATGGTCTGTAGAGCTTCCGACGGAGATCGTTTGACAGTGCTGACATACTGATTGGCCCGTTGCTGCAATGAGTCATAAGTCAAATAATCCCTTGCAGTCTGTTCAGATGAATGCAGATCAGCAGGTTGCTTGTTCACATTGTCTTTGGAAGGCTTCAGGTTGTTTTCAGCCCATTCTTCTATTCTGCTTTTCTTGGTTTTCTTCTCATTGTTCCTGAAACTTTTGTTCTCCTCACTCGCCATCGTTCTCATCTGGTGCTGTGGCCTCATCATTTGCGGTTCAAGCAAGTGATCCTTTGGCCGAGGGACCTCCATGGACTTGCGCTTCTTGGTGCTCCTCTTCTCCTCATCGTTCTTGACGCCTGTCCGATTGCCTCCATCACCTCCTGATATTCTTGCGCCGTGTGCGTCAGCCCCAGCACCTTTCTCGTCCACCCTCCGATCTGCCTTCGGCTCTGTCGTGCAAGTCGGAGATTGTATGGATACATGTCGTGTCATGGTTGCCAGCTCAAGGAATTTTTGATCCTGCTCCATGTCAATGGGCTCGAACTCGTCTTCGTCAAAACCAGACGCTGTGATACTCAATCGCTTTCTGTTCTGCTTCTCCTCGCTGATGAAGGTCTTGAGGACTGGCTCTATGGCTTCTTGCTGTTTGTTCTGGAGGACTCGCTCTGTGGCTTCTTGCTGTTTGTTCTTGATAGTTATCGATCCCTCGAGCAAGCGAGCAAGCAGACAATTCTGTAGCTTGCCGATGCTGATACAGTTAGAAAGCTCATTCGTGGGAGCTTCCAGCCTCTGGGTGCCTCCAACTGAACTATCTGCATCCTTCTTCTCTTTGCTCGCTGCGGCATTCTGTGACTTCACCTCAATCGAAAAAGTTTTGCGAGAGGATGAGCTTGCTTTGGCTGGTGGGAGGCGATCTCTGCAGACGCGGACGAGGAGAGGGATTGTGCTTCTGTGCTTGCTCAGGACTGAGAGGTGCACTAACGTCCCTGTCGGCCCGCGCAACTTTGCTAGAACCGCATCCAAGGACAGGCTGTCCGTCAGCTCCCCGTCCACCGCAAGAATCACGTCGCCTGGTCGTAGAGTCTTCTGGGCTGGCCCTCCATGCGCGACTTCAACCACTACCGTGGCTCCTCGCACTCGCTGCAGACGCACTCCTATCCCCGCCTCGTGTCGCATTGCCTTTCTCTCCTCCTTGCTGGACCCTGACGGCCTTTTGTGCCGCTGCGCTTGCTTGGGCTTGGGAGGAGGGGGAGTTCCAGCATCTGCATGCTGGATTGTCGTTTCTGCCGGTTCCGACATGGTCTGCGGGGCCTTGTCGACATTTGGTTTCCAGTTCAGCTCGACTTCCTGTGAGGGGAAGGCTTGAGCTGCAGATTGTGACTGACGTTGCTGAGGTAATTCGCGTCGCTCTTTGTGAACGTCAGAAGCATCCACTTGCTCATTCTCCTTCTCTTCAAATGATTTCTCAGTGTCAGTCTCAGCTTCTTGCTCGTTCTTGTCTTCATGTGAAGCTTGTCCATTCCCTCTCTCATTTTGATTGTGCACCTGCTGAGAACATTCTGACTGATCACAAGGAATCTTCTCGTCAGCTTTATCTGAACCTGTCTTGCTGCTTTCTTCAAGAGAAGTAGACAGTCCAGATGAAACCGAATCGATCAATGTCTGAATGAAGTTCTGTCCTCCATTGCTGTGATCTAGTGTGCTAGTTTCATACAGAGCTTCTGTCTTCCGTCTTTCTTGCTGCTTCTTCACAAATTCTTCCCAGAAAGCAATTCCTTGTTCCACCATGAGATTGTGGGTGGAAGAGAAGATTAGGCCAGCAACAGGGGAGTGCATCTCCTGATAAGGCTTGTTCTCAACAACACAAGACGAGAATGAAGTCTCCTGACTCGGCTCGGCTTCTATACTGGACATCTTAACTTCAACGACAAGAGCGTGGAGGACTGTCCTATCTGCTAACAACAAACAGTCAGTCAGTCAAGGAATGTTTCTTGTGCCCTCTCGTTGTATGTCTCATGTCTGTCTTCCTCAATCCATCCTTCCTCCTCTTGCTTCTTCCTTCCTCAGCTATCGTACTACGGTCGCTCGCTCTCCTTGTCTCCTTCAAGTGACTCAGTCCTTGCCTCGCCCGGCTCCGCCATACCAATAAAAGCTCAACGGTAGAAACTTGTCGGGGAATCTTTACTCAAAGTCGGGGAAGTTGTACTCAAACTCAGAAGTAAACATTTGGATCCGGATCGGACTCGGACTCCGGGACTCGGCCCGCCCGGTGTCCGGAGGACCGGGCGGGCCGGGTCCGATCCGAGTCACTGAGTGGCAGCGTGCCGCTGTGCATCACGACTGAGTTGTCCTCAGTCTATTCAAAGTTTCGGCTCACAATTCAAATTTGAAGATAGACTATCGAAATTATGGAACAAATCCCTGAACGTGCAGGGCAAGTGGGGTGACAGACGTGATGCGGACGGGAGAGCAAGGGAGGAGGAAACAAACTGAACCTGAAGCTTCATCCTTGTTCATGGCCGTTGAATGATTCCATAAGTTGCTTCCACGAAAGATAACAGAAGGCTACGGCGGAATACGGGGAGGAGACGAAGATCCCATGGAGGACCACGAACTTCAGGTCGTGGAAGTTGGTTCTGGAGCGGCAATGGATGCTCAAGAAGCACTAGACATCACGTTTCACAAGAAGAAGATGCACATCTCGCTTCTTCTCACAGAGAATGGACTGGCACCCTTGTTTGATGGAGCAGCCTGGGCAGGAACTAGATTGTGGGAAGCCGCCATCGCGGCGATTAAATTCATGTCATCCAAATATGCACAACAATTGGGCAGTGGGGCGAAGTTGTTGGAGCTGGGATGCGGTACTGGGGTGCCTGGCATGTGCTGCAGGATTCTGGGAGGAGAAGTACTGCTCACCGAACAACCTCAGCTGATACCTCTTTTGGATGAAAACCTGCAGAGGAACTTCTCGGGTGATGCTCATATCCGCGCAGAACCATTCTCTTGGGGAGAAGAGTGCGCGAAAAGTATTCGGGCAGAGCATGGAAGCTTTCGTTTTGTCTTGGCGTGCGACTGCATCTTTGCGCCATTGTACGGAGATTCTTGGAGGTTGCTGGCCGATTCGCTTCATGTTCTCCTCCAAGCAGAGGAAGCGAGGCCTGAGGGAGGGCTGGAGCCTCCGATAGGAATTCTTGCGATGCAGCGACGAAATGGCGACCAGGTTGACACGTTCTTCGAGTACTTGAGGAGCCTCAACGACCAATGGGTTGTGAATCTTGTGTATGAGAACAAGCCCATCGAAATCTACGAAGTTTTTCTGGCGAGCAACGACTAGGGATCAAGGGTACAAAGTAGCGAGCAAGGAGAGCATGACAAGAGGGTTATTGCTGTAAAAGTAAACTTTGAGTTGCTGTGAGCAGAAGGAACCTGCTTGCAAGTTCTGCCATTGATCTGATTTCATCGTTCAACAAGCTAGCCTCAGAGCGAGAGAATATGGGAGCACAAAGACAGCAAGACAGCTCCTTCGTGGCCCTGTGCCTGCTCCCTCCCCTCAAC